CTAGTGCAGATGTCTTAGCCACTCGACCACCGAGCTTGCCGGGGTCGGCTGGCCGGTCCGAGTCAAATGAAGGAGCGGGTACCGCGAACTATTTACAACTTATACAATGTGCAAAAAGTAAAATGAATTCCAAATGCAGATGAAAACCCCGGAATCCAAACTCATCCAACTGCTTCCTAATGGTTTATAAAATGAATATGTACCTGTAGAAAATCAACCTCGATTTCAAGACTTCCCTATTTAAGAAACATAATCAACAATTTAGCAGATATACATTTACTTGACTTACCACTATGAACTTTAAAATGTAACTCACATTTTTTATATAAGATGGGTTGCAGTCAGATAGGTTTAGAAAGTGTTATATACCAGCAGTGCTACAAAACATTTACATTTGAGGAAGGTTATTGAAGTATTAATTCAGTTTCATTAATTCCATCCACATATATACATGCAAACAAATGTCATGGCCAGTGGCTCACCACTCAGTCCTATTCTTGCCAACATATTTGTGAGCTGTCATGAAAATCTCTCCCCACCTAATGTGGGTTGATTCTACTACTGCATACCTACCAGATACCAATGATATGCATTATTTCCTAGTCCATTTGTTATTAAATTCTCGATCACCCTACAGTACGCCCTCACCCGCTTGACCCCATGAATCGTCCTCTTTTTTTGTAGCGCAAGAGTGCAGAGGCTGCTTAGGGAGGGTAGTTGGTAATCTGGTAGGTATGCAGTAGTAGACTCAACCCACATTAGATGGGGAGAGAATTTAATGCCTGCACCTGTGTAAATGACCAATACATATGCAGAGTAACACCGAACCTGAGGATGGTGGGAACACCACCAACACCCTAGTCATGACGAAAAAGGAAAATGGAACGATGAGGGCAAACAAATGTATACTCTCATCATGTTAATGCACAACAACAAATGGAGAACACATTTAAGCTCAGCATAAGAATTGCCTAAGAGCACCCTCTTGCAGGGTGAAAGACGGCTGGCAGTGAACCCACTATGATGTCAACCTGAGAACTGACAGTCCCCCTCAAAACATCACTCCCAATTTATATCTGGAAGCTGGTCGATAGAGTCTAGTGGATGTGATGAACAATTAGGTGACTGGCTCTCATACGTCCTTCTCCAGCTGAGACACTAACAGCTTACATTCCTACTGGCAACAGCAAGTAGGAATGTAAGCTTCATACTGAGGTGAAAGAGGAAAGAGGGAAGCTTGACACGCTGGTTCAAAGGGAGGTTCAGTTTGTAGCTGGAGAACATTGCCCGAACACCACAAGAGAGTAAGTCGTTTGGATGGAAGGCATTCAGTGAACATTTCTCTCGGAGATGGTGAACCATCAAATTGTTAGGAATCACAGAGCCACAAAGGATCGCTGCTATTGCTAGTTCCAAAACATGGTTACAAGGAAACTGGAGTTGATGAGGTGCATAAAACGTCCATCACTAGCGAAAGAGGCACTTTGGTCAGATCTGTGGAGTGCCCGTCACACCATCAATCAAAATGTTGTACCCAGCTGTTGTAGATTCTCCTAATGGATTGAAGTCGGCCTCTGGCAGCCAAGGCCGAAGCAGTGTGAAAAGGCCTGCCTACTAAAAAGATCGTTAAGTTACATTAAGTGTAGACAGACAGGTCCGCGGTCGAAAGAGTAAGACCGGACCCTGACACTGAAGTAGCAGGATATCGATCAGGAGTCTGACTAGCCTTTCCCAAAAAGGACTGGGGGTCAATGTTGTATCCTAACACAGGACATTCATCAAAACTAACCCTGAGGCACAGGCCCAAGGATTGACGTAGTCCAGGAAAAATGTCTCAGGAATTACTCAAACATAGATAAAACGGCTTTCTGATACAGAACCCTCAGTCCAACTGCAGTGAAGCCTCGACAAAGGGGAGGGTTCTCTCTGCATACACAACATAGGATACTCCGATAAGAGGGAGAGAGAAGTGAAATAACAGGAAACCATGAGAAAGACTCCAAGTAGCTATATAAACCTGGTGAGTATTTCGAGCAAATGAGGAGTTACCGCCAAAAGACCAAGTCAAATAAAAGTTTGTCCTAGTGGCAATGCATGACTCCAGAAAAAAATGAAGAATGACTAAAAAATAAATCTTGTCTTACATCTGATGTAGGGTCAAAGACAGGTCCATCTGTCATCAGAAAATCAAAAAATAAAAATGAAGCATCTGTAGTCATGAGATTACTCTAAGAGGATGAAAACCATCTCAGTGCTGCCCAACGGAAGCAGAGTATAAACATTTACTCAAGACACATATGTTTCAGCGGGACAATTAGTTTATGCGTATGTGCGTCAAATTGTTTCATGCCCATGTGAACTGAAGATGGCTGTCCAGTGATCACAGTTTTGAGCTGTGATCACTGTATTGGGTGTCATCATCTCTGAATTGACATGTTTTGTTTTTTCTTTGTGACTGAAATGAATTTGAGACCTTCCAATTTAATTTGTGAAAGTGTAACTTCAAAACAACAAATATCTCTCACCGCATTTTAGATTTGATCAGCAACACCTACTGCAAATGTATGTAGGGACATGGCACTTTACGTGCAGAATATGCAGCACACTCACTGTTTAAGACATAAAATTGGGAAAGACATGATTATTGAAAACACCAACTTGTGCGTACTAGGGTCATATGCTTACGAGCCACTAATTAGTCCCTAAAGATTTGTTTGGAATACTCTATCGGAGTAATCTTTTTGATAAGCATTATCGAGAAGAATGACCAGTACTCTAAAAGCAAATTTATGTTTTTAGTCTAACTTTTAGGGCGACGATCACTGATCAATGTGCAAAAGATAGTTTGAGTGGCGGAAGAGTTACACCTTGGCCAATTCACGCACGTACGTCCTAACAGCCTCTTTGGCAGTGCGTGCTCTTGGCCGTCGCCGGTGAGACCTTCTCTCCTAAAATGATTCCATTTGATGCTGCTTCTTGCTGGTGTTTCATTATGTTCACATAACCAGCTGATGCATTATTATTTGTAGATTACCCTGGTTGGGTTAGTGTGCATGAACAGGTCATTTTAGAAATGGAACGTGGACTATATAAGTTTGCAAACTTCCAACTAATGGTCTTGCAGTTGAATCATGCATGACGTGTATGTTGTATTAGCGACCATGCTGTCACTGTTCATGTATTATAATTATGTCACTTCTCGCCCACTGTATACATGATAGGTTAAACGTGCTGTGTGTAGCACGTGTGTATGGGGTGGCCAAACACTGCCTGCGTTCTGTAGGCTGTGTTGCTTGTGGTATATATGGGCCAAATACATGAACCTCTATCTCACTGTTT